CAACCAGTGTCATGTTAAAAACGACACTGTAAAACTGGATATGATTCCCCATTAATTTTAGTACCATTACATTTTTTTTTTTAATTTTAGACTTTATTTGTAAACTGTGACCATCTGAATGATAAATGATAATGATAATGATAAGATCTAAAAGTTTGTGCCAATTGTACATTAATAGTACCATTCAGTTTAGATTTTAACTATGGTTGAATTGATGTTTCTGCGATTTTATCTGTGATTGTCTTGTGACTGTTGTTTGACAAGTTTTATATTCAGTGCCAGTTGCACACTTGTGAATACTCTGAAACGCTGATGTATGTATGTATGTATGTATAATACAGATATTATATTTCTGGACAGTACAACTTGACAGTACAATTGAAATATATCATGGTATTATAATAATAACAAATATTATTTTATTATTATATATTGTTATATAGCACAAAGTGATCTGTTGTACTGGCAGATATAAAGACAATTACAATTATCTCTTCTTGGTTTATTTGATGTTCAGAACTGTTAAGATTATGTAACATTGAATAATCTGATGGATGAATAATGAGCATGAAAGAATGTAAAATAGTGAATTCATGGCCTATTTTAAAGTACTGTCCCATTATTTTCTTGGAGGAATTAAGGATAACCATAAAAGCAAATTTCAGTCAGGATAGTTTTCAACGTTACTAATGAACTTAACGGATCAGCGTATACAATCAGTGTTCAAATTTCAAAAACATTAGATTTGAGGTTCTCAGAAGCAGGTACCTTCAAAATACTGTAACCTTTCTACCAGCCTACATAGCTTTACATCCCAGAAGATAGTAACTTTCAAATTTTAGACAACTCCTGGTCTGAACTCAAGGAAAGGAACTTAAATGACAGAGCAGTTATTTATAAATGAGTGGTTTACAGTCTTTTCCTCCATTCAGGCAATGATCTGTAAGCTTACAGGTGAAGAAGACTGTAGGACTGTATCCCTCTTGTTACTTTCATGCTTACATGCGGAATTATCTGCATAAAAATTGTGTTATCAAAAGGCAGTTGTTTGTAAATACTCATCTTCATTTCACATGTATGGAAGTATGACATGAAGACTTGCAGCTCTCATTTAATAACTACCACTTTTCTACTGGAGAGTTGGCTCCTTCCAATCTGAGATTATCTTATTCTTCAGCCATACACAAATATTTATGAGCTTTAAGTATAAAGTATTCATATTTGAGCATATGAATTACGAACTTCCAAGTTGAGGTGATAGAAGAGAACTCAGTTACATGACCTCTACTGCAGAATAATGTCAGTAGCAGGCACCATAACAACAAGACAGTAATATAGCCATTAGTTTGAGCAAAATCAATCATAGTGAAGTGGCATTGATGCAAGACAGTTATTTAGAATAAAGCATTACTTTTACATCAATATGTTTATCATATTCTTCTCTCATTAATAAGAAAGTTTTTGTGCACCCATCAGAATGAAAAATAAGCAGTGTACAAATTATTATCGCACACGTTGCTGTTATAAACTGGAGGAATTCAAAGATTTAAAGAAGGAAGACAATTAGGAACACTTCATCATCTCTTGATAAAACACAGCATGTAAATTTAAGCTAATATACATATAAAGTGTTTCGCTGTACACATATCTAGCCATATTTCAGCACCAATATAAAAATTAACAAGGTCATCAGATCTTCAGTTATTTAATTTAAATGCAAGATGAGTTTTGGCCTACTTACGCTTGGAAGACTTCCACCTATATTCTTCTGCAGACAGGCAATATTGTCAGATGTTAAATCTGTTCTTTATGTGAAGTTTAAGAAAGATGTTTAATATAAGAGGACAGGAGATACAAAATATCAACCGGAAAGGATTATAGATATATTCCAACAATGTGTCCAGAGATACAGAGAAGACATCAGTGGTGATAATATAAGAAAATAACAATGGGTAATTTGAAAAAGAAATATGAGTTTTGAATGAACAATATTAGTTAACTGTTTAATAAATGAGTTATAATATCTCAGTACGTGACTTTTATGGACTGGAGAGTCGGGAATGGTTTCCCATCAGAGAAAGACATCTTCCCTTTCACTACATTATGAGCATATGTGGAAGACATTCATCCCCAAGTGCAAGGCGAACCAGGAGCTATTTCACTGGAGACAAAGTGGCCAAAGCTGACCACTCACCACCAAAATATGTGGATTTTATCTCCGCAAGCCCCATATGCCTTCAATGTTTGATGCTTAGTAGAGAGGTTGGCCTGTTTGAGGGTTCCCATTTATCACTGAAGTCTGAATAATGGATTTGATAAACTCCATTGCACCCAGCTCATGAAACAATGTTCAGATATTATGAATGTAACATACTATATATAAATAGATGTACTAAGGAGAAATAAAATGTACATCAGGTATATGTATTTCCAAAGTTTCGGTGAGAGTTTATGAATGGTCTTAAGCATGTTCTTATAATTAAGTAACACTGTACAGTTATCTAGGTGTACAAGTGTTTAGGTACCAGTCTTACTGTACTATTTCTTAATCATTTTAAAATTAACTGGGTCATATACACGTAGGACGCCAATCTGAATGCATTAATTGTATCATCTGGCATTCAGTAAAAGTCACTCAAGCTAAGATTAGGCTGTCCTAAACTACATGAAGTATATAAATTTGTACTATACAAAGAGCAGTGCAAATCAATCACTGGGTTTCAAAACATAGATTCAGCACAGAAAATGAAAGTTAAAAACAAAAACAAAAATATAAGCTAAATACAGGCTGGAACAAAAACTGCTCATAACAATATCTTGAAATTTGCACAAAGTTTCTATCTGCCAACATATAGAAGTAAATGATCACTTAAATTCTTGAATGAAATTATGAGGGGAAAACAGTTTTTCTCTAAGTGTTTTCTACAATGAGTGTGTGAAGTAGTGCCATTCTCTGTGACTGAAATTCCATGCAAGATAGCATACTGGACAAGTTTTGTGCTCCACTCTATCAAAGGGGTTACAAAGGTAGTCATGTGGTAGGTGTTTATAGTAATATTATAATAAGAATGATTGTGATTGATAACTAATAACACTCTATTACACACTTATAAACTTAAAATTCATTTTTTAACTCCTCTGTTACACTTTCAGTAGTACTTGTTTATGTTAGGGGAAACCCCTACAAGTATGCCAGAAAAGTAAATGAAGTTCGCTTTAATAAAAAGAGTAACATTCATACAAGCACCAATTTCAAAGATTGGTCAACATATCAATTCAATTTTTCTCAGTATCTGTAATCAGAACCTACTAATATTATCACCATCACAACATTTTACAAGTTAAATACGAGTAAGTCACATAAAATCATTTTCTACGTATTTTTTATTGGTGATTTTTATTAAGAGGAAATTATATGTTCAAAGAGTTCAGAATTTGTAAGTTGTATTCTTTCTTTGCTTCTTAAGTAATTATGAGAAGCTAACAGTTAAGGAACATCCCAACTTTTATAGGAAGGGAAAGGTCCATTGTCATACTGAAATTATCCTGCCTTTTTTTAACACATTGTTTAATATTAACTTTAATTTAAGACAAACCCTAGAAACTTTGTAATCATATATACTTCCATTATTTTCAATTTTTGAGAAAAACTTTTACTTACTTTACTAATTCTATTACATTTATAATTTCTGTGTAGTGACATTCAGATCATAGTTAACAGGCATTTTCAAATTCATATATGCTACTTACACTTTCAAACAGCTGCTTTCAAAGAGAATTTCCCACCAAAATTTTGACTGTACTTCTTGCTTCCTGTACCTAGGAAACTGGTTTATCTTTGATTTATTCAAACATTACCTACACAGGAGAACATAAACGCAGAAGAAATGTGGAGAGGCAACAAAGTCTTGAGCTTGATCCAAACCCACGATCCCAGTGTTTGAGCTGGCGAAGACAATTCACGCCTTAGACTGTGCGGCCACTGTGATCGGCTGGGTATTAGTTGAGTTGTATAATTCACGACGTTCCTAATGATATAAGTTCTTTTCTTTAATGACATCTCCAGTAATGAGACTGTATAGCATCGATGATGAGTAATGAATATGGAGCAGCTGGTGAGTGAGAATTGGTAGGGGAAACTGAAATATTCAGAGGAAACCTAACCATTGTCACTTTGTCCATCATAAACCTCATGACCCAAACAAGGATGAAACCTGTGATGCCGCAGTAGGAAGCAGCGACTAACTACCTGAGGTATGGTATGGCCCCCTAATGATATAATTGCATGCCCTTGCGAACGACGTGAAAAAAAAAATTATTTATATAATTTATATGTATTATTATATTCTTCTTTAAGTCAATGTATTAAAGTAAATTTGTCATGGAAGTAGCCTACCACACAAATTGCAATTATATTAACAATGATGTTAAGAAAAATATCTGTTTATTTTTAGAAACTGGAATCTATGTAATATACTTTTTCTGACATTTCAGTCAAGGAAGTAATTATTCTTTATATTAATTAGTGAAATACTGAAATGGTGCTTGAATCATTGTAGAATAATGCTATCTAAATTTATAAGTGTATGTGAAAAAAACGTGTAATATGTTTACAAATTTCATTATGAAATGTAATTTAATTCATTTCTCTTTGGAAACATTTCTAAAACACTGAATTACAGAGTACCCAGGTTGATAGTGTTAATGTTGTATTCTTAGCTTCAAACTCATAAGAATTTCTTCATAGCCAATAAAATTAAATTTGAGTTTTACCTTTTCTAGGAAATTGTAGCCTCCAAAGCTACTGCAAAAACATATAATAAATTAATAAATAAACAAGCCTTGAGAAGTGGAAAAATGGCAAATAATTAAAAATATTTCTGCAAATGGAATGCTACAATAGCAAAATTACTAATCTACATCTCCAATATCACACATTCCAGTGCCTTAGTGAAGGATGCTGCGCTGGGGTTGGAGGCTATAGCGTCGCTTGGCCGTACCTTGGGAGTCCCTGCGTATTGCAGCCTGTTGTGGAACGCCAGGGGATCCTGAAGGAGGGCCTATGGCTGTCACATCAGAATGTGTTGTCAATGGCCTTTCATCAACCGGTGTAGCCACTCCTCCCTGGCTAGAAACACTGGAATGTGATGTTGTCTTTGTCATGGCCGGGCGGCAAAATGCCTGTGAGAATTACCATAATACCTCATGTGAGACAATGACAAACTTAGTTATGATAACATCATTTTCTCTGAGATCATTGTTAAGCTTGCCGCTGCTGAACATGTTAAAGTAATCTCATTGAATAAGAAGAAAATTCTTCATCTAGAAAGGAGAATACCATTGTAACATGACTACGAAGTACGAATTCTATCATTACAATGAAATATGTTGGATTTTAAGTTAAAAACTACAACATATTTTAGTCTGATTTCCCTATTGTGTTAAGCATCAATTGAATATCATATCAAATTTCCAAAGTCGACAATTTTATAGAAAATTATCTTTCTTTCAGAAACTGATTCAATATATTTTATACCTTCTCAGCATCCACATAAACAGAAATGTAATATAAATTTCACAGTAAAATTTGAGTACTAGTTCTAGCAGAATACAAAATTAACTGTCCTGTTATCAAGCAGCAAGTAAAATACAATTATTTGCACATAAAAACTCCAAGCACTACATTACATCCTTTGTAATCTATTACTTATATTCCAAGTAACAAGGTTACAAATAATACTTATATTTTGTAATGGAAAATATGTATAGAGTTTCTTTTTATATATATTTCCACTAAAACGGGCTGCATTTAGCACCACAAGCAACACTGATATACTGCAGAAATTTATTGAAGCTTTCACAGTACACTCTTCTAAGTATTTCACAGTGTTGACATCATATTCCCTTTCATGATAAAATATATTAAGCTCTGACTGTGTTGCCTGCATTTCACATAAACAAATGCATACACTTGTTACTTTGATGGAAGTCTATGTGTGTGCAGCACTTGTTAAAAAGGAAAGGTTGAAAGTTTCGACATATAGAGTTTGATCAAACATACGAAGGGGGACCCAAAAATAACCGGAAACGACCTTTTGGGCACGCATGCTTTGTAGTTACGAGTTGTGCTGCTAGATGGTGTTAGCTGGGGGTCTCCCGCGACTGTTAGTGAACTGGCGTCAATCTGAGTTAAGTGGTTTGTCTGTGGTGCTCTGTTGTGTGCGTTCCTGTTTCAACC